TTAAGTGTTGAAGATGCGATCGACTTGTTGGGTAACAAGCCGGCCATGATCGTGTAAAATGGCTTCATCGTAGATCGATTAGTTTCTGAGATATAACCGGAAATGTAAAAGTGCAAAACCTACCGCTTAATCTCGCGAGACCTGTACACTGTTGTATAGTTCATGAGGTAGACGAATCATATCCACTACCTAGTTATTACCTATCTCACATACCTGTACCGAAATGAATGTCATATGGCTAAGCTATATGACATTCAACCTTCACCACAATCCATGAGCAGCCTATCAATCGTTCTCATGGGCATTGTATTGCCCATTTCGTGTGATTATGGGTGACCTAGGTGACCCCATAACAGGTGACTAAAGAGGTCAAACGACAACTTTTGGTGCAATCCATTGAGTTTACTCATTTAATATTTACGTTATCGTTTATCATAAATTGAGGTGCGTTTTACAGTAGGCATTTTATGTTGGACAAAGCAGTTGGGGTCGCCGTCGATATAACAAATGGGTGGTATTTTATTTTTATAAGCGGCCTGGTAACGCCCGAGATTATCATCATCAATTATTTCGGCGTTTTAACATAGCCTGTGGCGGTGAAAGATAGAATATATTCGACATTCTAAACTTTACCATTGATGTCCTATAACTAGCGTATTATTTAAGTGATGCCGGTGTTCAGTTATATGTTTTAATGTATTACTATTATTGGTAATCTGAGCATTTTTATGACGTCATCCGGATGGCGTCAATCGCCAATCGTCTATACGTTTCAGGCTCAACTGAGCAAATGAACATTTCTGGTTACACCAGAGGTTATACAGGATACCATTATATCAGAGCGGCCTCCAGCAAGAACGCTACAAAACCACTTACCGCAAAAGCCGAACCGGATGAAACCCATTCGCCGCCGTTATAGAGGCCTATTTTAGAGATTCGGTTAGTGCCAATAGTTCCATGACCAGAGTAACTCTATCGCCCTTTCCCGTGTAATGCTTAACTTCCTCTCAGTTCCACTGTGAGGTTTGCTCAGCTTCACTAAGTTTTCTCTGAGCTGTGTTACTCTGAGTGCCTTTGTGTGTCAACTGTCAAAGATCTCCTTTCAGTTACACTGAGTTACCCAGAGCTGCCATCAATAAACTTTTGAGCTCTCCTGAGCTCTACTAATTTCCTATGAGCTCTTGACCACCTCTGAGCTCCTCAAGTTCCACTGAGTTCCTCTTAGTCCCTCTGGCTGAGTTCCTCTGACCTCCTCTGACCTCCTTTGACCTCCTCTGACTTCTCCTGAGTCCGACTCGGGTCAGCGGGGTCGCATCTGAAGCACCTCTGGCCGCCGGACAGCTGACCTAACACTTGCTGACTGATGAATCAACATCACGGACTATGCCGGAGATCGTATAGCACGACATTGGTGTTCACGGCTGAGTGCCAGAGACAAACTTAGATAGATACAACATACATGCTGCAAACATATTCAGCAGAGACATCTGTTATACACTCGTACATCCGATACAAGCATCTGTTACATGCATCGGGCAGTTGATGGCTATAAACAACAACAGGATATCAGGATGAAATGTCCACAGGCACCGGATAGACTCGCAGTTTTTGGTAGAGAAGTTCCCCATCGCTGTACCCTCCCGCCAACTACGTACTCAGGCCTTGTTCGCTGTGTCATTTGCAAGAGTTGAAACGGTTCGTTCTTGCGCCTTCAACCGCATACCAAAGGCATGCAACGCTTTTCTTGATGTAAACAGAGATGTGGATTATGGGAGAGCGGTGCAATGGAATTCAGAACTAGAGTGAAACGGCATGTGATGGGAGTCTGACAGATGACTGAATTCTCGTAACCGTGTCCTTCAAGGTGGTATCAGTCATCAGATTTTACTGTGTTTGCGGTTGTATTATTTTCTGTGTTGTGTTATGTGTATGTCTATTTATTGAGTTTTATGAAATGACTGCACCTGTTACTGGGTATGCTGCCCGTTGGTGTTGAATTGAAATAAAGAAATAAAGAAATAAAGGATATATGCATGGACTCAACTCAACGGAACGAACAAGGAACTGAAGGATGGAACGTAAACTTTTAGTTTGCGTTCCATCCTTCAGTTCCATCCTTGATACATGCTGGACGGTGCAGAATACCTACATGATGCAGATTCCAGCGAGTTTCAGATGCATTTGATTTTGCCTATGTTTATTTACACGATTAGCCAAAACGTTCGGTGTGCTTCCAAACGAAAGTAAATACCAGGGTAGGTAAATACGACTAATCCACAGGAGAATCGGCAATATCCAGAGCCAATGAAGCGTGCATCTCCTGTCGTTCTCGCGATGGAAGCGTCAGCGGCGAGCGGACCCACACAGCATCATTCCGCAATGGCTCGAGAGCTCGGCGCTGGGTAATGCACACCGCCCTCCATATGACCTCGCATGTGTCGACCTACTGGTGCTCAAAGGCTCACACACACGATCCTGAAGGGCTGACGGCAGCACGCGAGCTGTTCCAATGGCTGGTCTACCTTTGTAATGGAGTAAATGCGGGCACAAGGTGAGCTCGAGCACATTATTAAGTAAGTATACAGTGTAATTACTGTACGACAATGTCCAACTACCCCTGCAATGAATGTATGTACATTGTACATGAGTATCCATAAATGCCCTGTTCTATAAATCTCACATCCCCTATATTTCACAGCGAAAGGAGCAGTACCTAAGTAAGTCGTGGCTTTTATATAAACAGCTATAGGTACATCGCTGATATTTAAGCTAGCTCTACATCAACTTATCTTTTCTACATTATTGTCTTTTGTCTTATTTTGCCGCGACCTTCATTTGTACATGAAGAAAGGGAAGAAGATAAAGAACAAGTGTTGAGTATCCATGACAAGTTGGATGATGATGTAAATAATAAACCAAATTATTACAAATGCATTCAAATATATTCAAAAAGACACACACTGTGTGTCTTTTTGAATTGTGTGTCTTTTTGAATATATTTGAATGCATTTGTAATAATTTGGTTTATTATTTACATCATCATCCATGAAGAACAAGGCAGGTGGATGGCAGGCAGATACAGAGACAGAAACGGAGAGAGAGAGAGAGAGAGAGAGAGAGAGAGAGAGAGAGAGAGAGAGAGAGAGAGAGAGAGAGAGAGAGAGAGAGAATGAGAGAGAGAGAGAGAGCCTCTGTCGTGTGATCAGCTGCCAAATGAGAGAGCGGAGAAATTCGGCAGGGGAGGGGCTGACACAAGGAAATGAGGCTGACGGAGGAGGGGGCAGGTATAGGGGAGGGGCCGACAGAGGGGGACTGACACAAGGGGAGACTGAAAGGCGTACGGAGAACACAGAGCGCTTGGTCTGACAGTGGAGAGAGATTCTGGAGGCTGATAAGACAACAGCCAGTCCATGGTGCGGTAGTTCGTAACGCATCCATGCTTTTGAAAACCGGGGTCACCGCCCAAATTGACTGAGTTGTGGTTGAGCTAGGAGGTAGGATCCTGTAAGGCCCATGGGGCCGTATCATAAACAGTATGGCATTGGCGTGTGCCTCATTGGGTATGAGTAAAACGGGATGACCATTCCTAGATTCTGCGACTTTTTAATCATTGATTTGAAATTTAAGAAATGTGACAATTGTATACACATAAAAATTAAGGATTCTACTTAAAAAAAGTCATAGGTAATCATGGTTAGACCGGTGAGTTTTTGATAGGTAATATTAGCCGTTTTCACGAGCGGCTATCTGGCGAATGCACCTAATTTGACCATAGCTGCACCTAATCTGCACCTAATTTGCAACAAATGTGTACCAGATGGCTATCGTGAAAACGGCTATTATTTGGTTAGACCCTTTCGGTCTATGGAGACATTTCAAGACATTGACATAAGGGATCACAGTGAGGATGTACTGCGTCAATCACCGATTGTTCCGCCATGCAGCAGCTGAGTCCCATCCCGAGAGTGTTCTTTTGCGGTAGAAAAGTCCGGCCAGCCGCTAATACGGGTCAGCCAAGGTCTGCTCCATCCGGAGCCATGTGGAGCTGCCCTCCCGACCGGTTGTCTGGTGGGATGGCCGTCAGGCCGTCAGCCCGGACATGGGAGCGCGTGATCAAGGATGATCAAGGATATGACTTGGATGGACTGATTTTCAGGATAGAGGTGACGAACGAGAGACCCAGTTAGGCCTGGTGCATGATCTTGGTGTAGAGATGTCGCACGGCTGGTTCATTGGGTTCAATTTTCATCGCCTCCATGGATAGCGCTCTCGTACTTCCGGGTAGCTGCCCTCCCACCTGGTTACCGCGATTGTGTGTGGCACGTCTACGGGCACGGGTTCAGCCGCGGCGGAGCAACATAATGTGGAGGATGACGGTACTTACTTCAGTTCTTCAGCTTCAGTTATATGCCTCGCCTAACTATCCTCACATCTCATGGCGCTCAAATGGTTTGTTAGACCCAAAGGGCTAACAAACCATTATCCAACTAAACAAAGCAGGCGAAGCATGTACCAATATACTCGGTCTCTGTTGATAAATCATGAGCTCTTCCTGTCTCATGTCTGAAGACAGAAAGACAGAGAGCGGACTGGCATGTCTGAGCTGTATAACACCTCGTTGACAGGATCGCTAGCTCTTTATCTCTTCTCTGTCCGTCTCTTTCTAGTTGCGATGTCCGTCTGTCTTTCGTCTCTGTCTCTCTGTCTCTGTCTCTGTCTCTGTCTCTGTCTCTGTCTCTGTCTCTCTCTCTCTCTCTCTCTCTCTCTCTCTCTCTCTGTCTCTGTCTCTGTCTCTCTCTCTCTCTCTCTCTCCACATTTCCCCCCAAACTCACCCCTCCCTCTCCTGCCTATTTCCACCACACAGTTCCATTTCCAGCCCACTTTCCTCTCACAGCCGCGGACCCACGTCCGTAATGCTCGTCTATGAGGCACCGACCGGCCCCGTGCGCATGCCTTTAGCGTTCCCAGCGGCCTTGAGACTGGATGACGACCGGCTCCCATTGGCCGCGCGAGCCCGCCGCCGCCGCCACCGCCGCCGCCGCCGCTGCCCCGCCGCCGCCCCGCCGCCGACGACAGAGGCCCACACGCACCACGAGACGCGAGCGGCTAGCAGTGTGAGAGAGTACAGACAACATCATGGGGAAGAACGACTGCTGCTGCGGAAAGTACAATGCCCGGGAGGGCACCAAGTTCATCGCCATCGCATCGAGCGTAAGTTTTAAACAGGAGAGGGAATTGTGCCATGCGCCAGGGAACGAATTAGGAGGGTTTGTATGCGGAGTTTGACGAGATCGGGTCGCAATTTAGGACATCTGGCCGGATAGCTTCACATGTTTGAAAGCTTCACCTTCTTCTACGTGAGCAAGGTAACATGACAATGTTCCTTTGAAACATGTCCATGCAACCAACTTCCCGTGTTCACATCCCTGGCTCACATCTCTTCGCGGCTTATATGAGGGGCGTCATCGCGCCACTTTTTGGCGGGCGCCCGCCGCCGCCGCCGCCGCCGCCGCTGCGTGGCGCGTCGGTCGTCGCGAGCCACGCCCGTTTGGCTCTGTCGCCAACGACGATCGCCGGTTGGGACGAGACGAAGCAACAAGGGGCGGCGGCCAACAAGGCCACGATGATAGTAGATGTTCCGTGATCGAGGGCTGCTTTTGGCGAGCGACCGGGCGTGGTTAGGAATGGGGTGGAATTCATACCGTTGATGAAAGGGCATGCAGAATTTGATCACGTTAAAATTGTCGCGCTTTCGGACCTATGACAAAAACAATACATTGCGTAGAGCTACATTCCTTTGTGCAAAGCCCATTAAGCCAAGCCATGTGCTTGAAGTCAAAACAGGTAGAGAATGACAGGAGCTTGGATGGGTCTTAAAACGGATAAGAATATGAATACGGGGATAAGAATATGACTGGCAATCGATAATCACGCAGTCTCGAGACTCAGCCTAATTATAGTGAGAAGATCCTCTAATTGCTAGCAGCCGCACATACTGGAAACCAATGCGGTGTCCCCTCACTACGGGTTTCTGGCTGCGCCTCTGTCCCTGAACCACCCCTCCCATGACGCCTGGGAGCGCCACTGCGGGATGCGCGCCGATGGGGCGGGGCTGGGCGCGCCGGCTGTGTCCGCTGAGATCCGCCCAAACATGTGCCAAGATATACACCGGGAATCCACTAACGCCGACATAGAATGGCAGCTAGCAATATTTTACATATGCTAGGAGAAAGCGCCGGGTCCCTAGTATCTCATGACACCGAATGTTTCACCATCAAACGGCAGCCAGGCAGCTTCTTTTGCTCAGTATGGCGGCCTAGCCACACTCCTTAGGACCGTTGCCCTTTTCTAGGCGGCCCAGTCAGTCAAACCCCTAGGGGAGCGGCCCTTTTCTTGATTCGTAGCGACCCAGCCACAACCCTAGGGCAGCGGCCCTCTGGGTAATTTTAGCGTCCTAGCGCTATTTTCGGACAGCATTCTCCCCCATAGCAGTAGCGGCGGAACACCACCACACCTAGAACACCTATCGGGGGGGGGGGGGGGGGCACTGACGACTTTTGGTCCCATTCTTTCCATGCAACGCCCATAGGGCTAATGTTCAAATGACAAAATCAAAGGGGGCACGGTGCCCCGGTGCCCTCCCCGTTCCGCCGCCTATGGGCAGTCAGGCAGCTTCTTTTGCTCTGTACCCCTTAGCAGTAGCGGCGGAACACCGTCAATTAAAGGGGGGGGGGGGCACTGCCGACTTTTGGTCCCATTCTTTCCATGGAACGCCCATAGGGCTAATGTTAAAATGACAAAATCAAAGGGGGCACGGTGCCCCGGTGCCTCCCCCTCTCCCCCCCCCCCCCGTTCCGCCGCCTATGGCCCCTAGGACGGAGACCTTCTCTTCAATTTACAGTCACACTTCTAGGGCAGCGGCCCTTCTCTTGATTTGTAGCGGTCCAGCCACAACCCGAAGGCAGTGGCCCTCTGGGTACTTTTAGCGTCCTAGCGCTACTTTCGGACAGCAGCCTCCCCCATAGCATCTCGCGGGTGCGTATTATTTAGGCCAGGGTTCATAATGTCCAGGGTACGATGTGTCCAGTGCTCGAAATGGCCAGGGTTCATAATGTCCAGGGCACGATGTGTCCAGTGTTCGAAATGGCCAGGGTTCATAATGTCCAGGGCACGATGTGTCCAGTGTTCAAAATGGCCAGTGCCTTGAATTGGCCAGAGTTCATAGTGTCCAGGGATTACACAGTCAACCAAACCAAACCAAACCAAACCAAACCTAACCTAACCTAACCTAACCTAACCTAACCTAACCTAACCTAACCTAACCTAACCTAACCTAACCTAACCTAACCTAACCTAACCTAACCTAACCTAACCTAACCTAACCTAGGGTAATGATGTTTGCCTACCGGGGATAAGGAAATAGTTTCTCGCATGAATAGATTGCAAGCAATAGTAAATCAAATATTTTTAGGTTAAGTGGTTATGCATCAGGCTTCAGGCCTTCGGCCTGAAGCCAGATACATAACCACTTAACCTAAAAATATTTGATTTACTATTGCCTGTAATCTCTCCTAAGGCATTGCCTTCGGCACTGCACTGCTTCGCATTGAGCTGGTTCCGTGTTTTTACATAATGACGTCACTTTCAATGACTATGTAATCCCTGGACATTATGAACTCTGGCCCATTCAAGGCACTGGCCATTTTGAACACTGGACACATCGTTCCCTGGACATTATGAACCCTGGCAATTTCGAACACTGGACACATCGTGTCCTGGACATTATGAACCCTGGCCATTTCGAACACTGGACACATCGTGCCCTGGACATTATGAACCCTGGCCTCTTTGAATATACCCTATCTGCAGCCAGTTGGCCGCATTTGGACCATGCAATCCCTGGACATTATGAACTCTGGCCTATTCAAGGCACTGGCCATTTCGACACTGGGCATATCGTACCCTGGACATTATGAACCCTGGCCAGAATGAATGTTCCCCGCATCTCGCACGTCTTCTGCTCCCCTGAGGGGGCGCTGCCTCACTCTAATTGATCTTTATGCGGCACATACTGATGGAACGGCTGCATTTGCTCCAACGAGGCACAATTGGAAAATGAGCCAGATGCTGTTGCGGTGATACATGCCCCTGGCGTAAATACACAGACATTGACAACGTGGGTGGGTCAAGAGCAGGGGCGGATCCAGGAATTTTCGGGAGGGGGGCGGCAAGTCGAAATAGGGGCGACCTGGCTATTCGGGGGCGCTCCACACAAAGGGGGCGCCAAACCGTCAAGATCGGGAGCTAAAAGCCCGCGCCGTGCTAGGGGGCGTTATCGCGCTCCCCCTCAGGTTTTCGCAAATATCTGAAAAACAGCTGCGCGCAGCGCCGCCATTTTCAGCATACCTTATCATGCATCTTTTTTGCACATGTTGTAAAAATGTCTGACGCGGGTGATGGAAGGTCAGGTCACCAGGTTATGCCAAGTGACCTAGCCTAAGAAAAAGTTCAAATGCTTACCATTGCTATACCGAATGAATGATTGCTTTGAACCTTTCAGCGATTGATGAAAGCAACACTATTCATGAAACGCATATCTCGGAATTTCGATATCTTAAGGTCAGGTCAGTTGTGCGACGTCTCCATTATTGTATTGTATTTACATTTAAGAGCGATCCACATACGATGTGCGTGGCGATTACTGCTCAGAATCCGTATCCGCGGTTGCTAATCTAATCATTCAATACATTTGCACATTCACTCACATCAAAACAAGGACAAAACACTCTCAGGACAGCCTCATTGCTCTTACCCACCCCCATCCTATTGGTCAGCGACGATGTGCTGATTCATCGTCCACGATTGCGGCTTTAACAGCGCGGGCGAAGCGGGCGGGAGGCAGCTGCGACAGGTGAGGTGGCAGGCTGTTCAGCAGAGCTGCAGCTCGATAGCCAAACCGCCGCTTGCCCGTTTCCAGCCGCGGACGGGGAAGATGGAAGAGGTGATCTTGCCTGGATGATCTCTCGCGAATAGCGCTATTAGCGACGAACAGGGCTGCTAGTTGCTCGGGTTCTCGGCGCTGTATGACCTTGTGTGCGATGACAAGGGTGTGGAAATCGGACATACAGCGCGGGGACAACCAACCGAGTTTTGTTCGCAGGTCGGAGACATGGTCAAATTTACGGCGGCCGAAAATAACTCTAGCGGCGAAGTTAAGAATTTTTGGAGTTGATCGAAATTTTTTTGGGACCCATTACCATAAACTGAAAGGCAGTACTGGATACGCGATACAACGAGTGCCGTCACGAGCGTTCGAATGATGCCATCTGGGAGACAGTGGCGCGCATGTGAAAGACCAATCAACAGTCCCGTACACCGGCGGCAGAGTTCAGAGACGTGTGCGTCCCATGACATAGTGCTGTCGAAAGTGACGCCAAGGTTCCCGACCTGTGCGCACGGTTGCAACGCTGCGTCGCGGAATGGTACTCTAAAGTCTGGTAATTTACGTAGATTTTGACGACTGCCAAATACAATAAGCTGTGTTTTACTTGCGTTCACTTTGAGGGCGTTAGCGCAAAACCAGTCGCTGAGAGACGCGAGCGAGTCCTCCATGCGCGAGATGAGAACTTCGAGGTCCCGAGCTGGACCGCTAACCAATACTTGAGTGTCATCGGCATACTGAAACACTTTTGCGTCGCCCGCGTATAGCGATAAGTTGTTAGAGAAAATGGTGAAAAGAAGCGGCCCTAACGCAGAGCCCTGGAAGACACCCATGGCATTAGAGAGAGGCCTAGACAGCACTATACGTCCGGATACATCTTTCAAAGACACGCTCTGAGTGTGTCCATTAGGTAGGTAGGTATAATAAAGTCTTTGGGAGAAAACTGAAAGGCATCTCTTTTGGACGAGCGCCATTCTAGACAATATCAAGCATTGGGATACATATAAAATTAACACACTGAATAAGAACATTGCACCTAGTGTGACCACTCATTATATCCCAGAGGTCATCCCATGTCATGAAATGTCCGCAGCAGTTTTTTTAAATAACTTTTGATAGATTCAAGCTAGAGCGATAAATAAGCGATAAATAAAAATAAGATAGAGCGATTCAGCTGTGTTCAGCTCGACGATACGCATCGACTGCTATGCAGCATGACCCTTTCCGGTCAGGTCATGCCCTTGACCTGAGGTCAAATTCTCAAAATTAC